CAGCCGGGCCGAGGAGCAGAGAAGGTGGAAGTGAGCTTGTCCAGACGGGTGCGCTCCCTCTGCTCGCAGTACCCCAGTCCCGGCCCCCGCCATTATCGGTACTGATAATTTGACTTCTTCTCCCTTTTTTTCAGTCACGATTCCCTGCTGGTATAGGACTGAAGACTGCTGCTGTGCCTCGAGGTGCTAGGGGCTGCGTGAAGGCGCCCGGTGCCAGAGCCTGGAGACGGACGGCTTTCTGCACTGCTGTGAGATTACCAAAAGGTCTCCGCATCCCAGTTTCACCTGAACATGACACTAATAACGATGATAGTTGACTCCGAGCAGAGAAAGCTCCGGTGTGTAGGATAAGAGGAACCTGCAAAAAACTGGGAAACAGATCAGATCCTTGCAGAGGGAAGACTTTCCTCCAAACCGTCACCTTCCAGAGGCTCCGAACAGAACAGGTTTTGCACAGTCACCTCTGCATCCCTGGAAAGTGCTGCTACTGGTGCCTTTAAGGCTTGGTCCCAGATCTGTTCCACACGGGAGTCTCCCACCCTGCAACCCTGGCTTCAGGCTGCCCATGCCTGCTCCACCCGCACTCGGCGGGTCCCAGGCAAGGCCTAGTCTTCGCTCCCTCCGAAGGGCTCTCCTTGCGCAGGGAAAGGAGGTGACCAGGCTCTTCTGGCTATCTTTGAACAGATGTACACTTCTAGTAAGCCTGCCCCACAAGCGGTCATGACTTTCTGCAGTCGGGAACAATGGTTGCACACCAGTGTTGAAGAAGGACTAGATGTCACTCCTGTACAGTGACAGATTTCACTAGCCTGCTCAGGGGCCAATGCAGCCAGTAGACTAGAGAGGAGTGGTGGGAACATGGGTCCTCCTGACAGCTCGCTAGATCAGGTATAGAGAAGGTCAGGCTGTCCCTTCGCCTCCACATCCCCCTGTCCCCTTGCCCCTTTGCCTCTCTGTTCTGCAGTGAGGGCACGTCCTCACTCCACTCATGGTCACAAGGTGGGAAAAGGGGAAGCCAGTAAAAAAAGCCCATGTGGCACCACAGCAGATGTGAAAGAGACAGAACCTAGAACCGCCTTTGCTCTCCAGGTAATCTGAAGGCTACCTCAGTGCCAGACAGGCACCTCTTCATACCGCTGCACCCAGGCTCCAAGAACCATTTTGGGTTTGCATATTAATCAAAATGGGCTGATCTCAGCTCATTTCTTGCTCTATCTAAACTACCTCACTCAGCAGACATCCAAGTGCACTTCATGCCCCCAGCTCCACGCTGCGCCCATCTTGCCAGCAAGCGCAGCTGTGGCTCCGCCGCCCTTCCCCCCCGCCCGCCCGGGGCCCCCCCCCAGCTGTGGCTCGGCTGCCATTCCCTGCAGCCTGCAAGGAGCCCACCTGCCTGATACGGATGTGCCTCTCAGCAGCACCAGTGATTAGCACCTGCAGGAGAGGACCTGGCAGGCAGGCTACGCCCCTCCTAATTGACTGAAGGAAGAGGAACACTTGAACTTCCTCCAAAAGGAAGCACAAGTTCCAGCTTCCCCACATTCATTTACTTGCAGAGCTTGCCCTAACCCGCAAGCAGGCATCAGCTTGCAGTTCAGATGAAGCAGAGTTAGACCAGCCCAAGTCAGCTGGAGGTATTGACCCTTCTGGCAGTTTGGATGCAGACTGTGGGCTCAGCTTAAACATGCCTTTCTTCCATTCTCCACTATCTAGAAGGATTGGCTCTTCCCAGCCATTATGTTCTTCATCATGACTCATTCCAACTACAAGTCCATTGTATCCTTCAGCACTGCCTATCCAGCCCCTGCAAAACACACCAGGGAGAACCCCAGAGCACCTATACTGCTTCCACACAGGCAATTCCTGGGGAGAAACAGACATGCTATCAAATATCCCATTTTTGGTTTTAACCACACAAAGAATCTACCAAAAGGCTCTTCATTTTTTTAGAACGTCATATATTGTAATAGTCCGGTTTAGCTTAGGGCAAAACTTAAGGCCAATAAGAAGAGCAAGAATCTCTCCAGAACAACAATCCACCCCTCAGGAGATGGCATTGCAATATACTAGGTTACTTCAGTGACAAGCCCAGGGAACTCTGGTGACAAAGCACAGAGAGCATACAGACAAAAACCAAACCAATATCTAGCTTCCTAAGCAAGCAGGCTGGGCAGGCTGCCTGCCAGCCATCGCTGCAGTGTTAAACTCACTGCTCTGATTTGTGTAAGTGCTTTTTAGTAAGATATCAGGAAGGCGTAAGTGTTTGCAAAATGCATGGTGCTGTGATCACATAACTGAGGGCTCCACTTTCCAAGCCTCTCAGGAACAATGGTTTTAGGTTAAGAGTTTCCCTGTACTCATTACGTAGGGCGAAGCCTGCTCAGCAATGAATGCAAACAGTCCCACAGAACGACGACAACTGCAGGTGCAAAGGAGGAAATGCTAGAGGCACAATAGTGCTTCAAGGTTTATTTTCCCCAAAGACACATAAAAGAATTAAAACAGTTCTAAAAAACCACAATGCTTTATTATTCTTCACAATACATAAATACAAACTGTGCTTCCTGCTTGGACTAACCAGCAGGGAGGTCTTTTATTCAGGCCTTTATGTCAGTAGGTGCATAAAGCTGTTTCATTTACTTTAGGTACAGAACAAGTGAAAGGAGAAGTGTATGACAGAGTAATTCCAATTTTGTTCAAGGCCAGGACCTTCTCCTGAGAGGGATGCTCTGCTGTTGACTGGAAGCCATGTTCAACAGATACTGCTCACATCGCGTACAGATGTCTGCAGTCAGCCAGTCTGCCATGGTTCCTGTGTAACAGCACAGAGGCTGTGCTAGGCAACGGGGTTCCAAAATAACAGGTACACTGGAGTGAGAGAGGGGGAAACAAAAAAAGCCAGAAAGCTGACCCAGGTGTCTGTTAGAGGGTATGGTGCTCTTTCACCCTTCCCCCATGCATGATCCGACACTGCTAAGTGATGTAGCTAAATGCATGAGTTCACCAGAGCAGTCAGCTCCACTTAGGAAGGCTCTTAAGCGCCAGAGCAGCTTCATTTACTGACACCTTCTCTCTGTTGACAGTATGTCAGCTAAAGGGTTAATGGATATCTATGGTTGAGCCAAGGTTATGGCCGCCTCCTTACAGCATATGCTGTAGGATGGCTTTTTGCCCTCCTGAAGTATGGCAGTAATGCAGTCACTCAGACCGCTTCTGCAGCACCTGCATCATGAGCCAGACCAAACCACTGCCCCACAGAGTTAACTTCAGTAGTGAACACTGCCCCTGATTTTTGGCAGCTGAAGTGCAAGCCTTTGAACCAGAAACTGCTGTGACTATTTTGCCTGTATTAAAAGAATGGTTTCAGAAAGAAGAGATACCTGTTCCCTCAGTAGAATATATAACTGATTTGGAAAGAAGCGAACAGATAATGTATGTTTCCAGTCCTAGATATTGCACTTATACCCCCAAGGTCTGTCGTTTCCACCCAGAACTGTTAAAAGCCCTTTTTGAAGCAGTTCCCTTTCTGGGGACAAAAAAGAAAGGGCGTCTGTATGTGTTTGGAGGGACTGAGAAACCATTCGTGGCACTACTCTTCAGTCAGTTATACCTAAGACCGCTAGTATATCTCATATCTAGGTATAAAGGGGCTACTCCTATGTTGTAGTGACAGACCCCCAGCTGTGGGGGACAATGTAATGGGGTCTAGAAATTTTCATACAAATGGAGCTGTCGCAAGGAACCTTCTACATCTGCACTAATATCAACACTTCTGAAACCATGTCTGAAACCTTATACCTAAAAAGCAAAATGGATTTCAGAGCACCTACACATCCTCCCTTTTGGTCATCTAAAATCCACAATACTTCCAGAGAACTGTAGAATGGTTAGTCCAGTGGCTAAACCAGTCATTCAGCATAACATTCAGCTGACCAGCACGCTATCGCATTCTGTTGTCTGCATGTTTGTAGGCTGGCATATACAAATAACTGGTAACACCTTTCAAGTTAAAGACAGAACATCCCTGTCCCAACTTACCTAAAACACTCCCAGTGCTCTATTTCATGCAGCAGCTCTGAGCTCTTCTGCTCTTGAGTAGCTGGGTCCTCCTCTCTGGAGAGTCTCAAAAGTTTTAAGAACTGAAGTGGAAGATGTACACACATTCTGAAGGGCATGGACATCTAGAATCGCAACACAAGTCACCTGAGTTCTCAGGGAAACAAATCCTCCTTCTTAGCAGGAAAATTTGCATGGCATGCAGTTGATTTACTGGTACACTTAGAAGACAGACATTAATGCAGTGAACTTCCTGACCCTTGTATAAATAGAGCACGGAGTTACCCCAACCACTTTACACAGGATGAAAGAAAGAGTAACAAGAGAGGGTTTTTTTAGACAAGTATGACAAGAGATGCCTGCGGCACCCTGACTGCTCTTGCACCTTGTAATATTCCCTCTTCTCTTTTCTAAGAAAGAAGCTAAAGGGTAGATTTGAGGTATCAGTGGGATGAAGCAAAGCTTCTTATGATGAGGTGAGGTGCAGGGAAAACAGAAAATGTACAAAACCCAATATGCTGTTGTAAAGACTAGACTTGCCTTTATGCAGCAGTCACAGCAGACAACACTATGAGAAAAAGATTCCCAGCATTATCATTTGAGTAAAGTTCAGCAGATACCAATGCTGCAGCTAAGGGTGACTTTCCCAAGTCTTAATGTGTGACTGTGGTATAATCACTTGATAGCAAAATGAGCAAGCTTAGAACTCCCCTGTTCAGTTTTCCAGCCCTCCTTTTTATCCTAGATTAAATCATCTGAAATATGTCAGTATCCATAGCTTGAAGGCTTTATCTGCAAGTGTCCATTACTTTTCACCCAGCGCTAGCACCAGACAGTTACTCAATTCCCAGTGGTTATTCACTTGTTGCTTGTAATCAATTCAGTTAAGTGAGCCTTAACAAGCCTGAAGTTTGTCTCTTCCCCTTCCATGAACAGAAAACCTTTGACAAATAAGTGGATACAAGTAGTTCCAACTCCTTTCCCAGTCACAGGATCAGAAGTTCACTTTTTCAGTCCTCAACAGAAGGTTCTGGTGAAGAGCCCCTCCCAGAACCTGCTCAAGCCCTTGACTGAAGTTAAATCAAACCTTTCGAGCAAAATGCAGAGAGTGATCTCAGAGAAACTGAATCTAATACTTGCACAGTAAATTTGGTTATTGCTAGCTTAACACTTAGAGTTAAAACTGAGATACGAAGTTTTGCCACATGCTCTGCAGCTGTAGACACTTCAGCCTGGCTTGTGCAGTAAGGCAAAACTGAAGGGCTCAGCAACCTGTTCCTATCCAGTACTGCAACTGTTTGAATACCGAGTATTTTCAGCACTGTTCTTTCACTCTTTTCTCCCTCCTCATTCAGTCCTTTTGTACCAGCTCACCTGCTGCAGAGGTAACAGCTGTAAGGCCACTTAAGAAACATCTGCTTATGGCAGCTGAAACAGATCTGTGGAAAGGAAAGTTACTTGTGAATGCCAATGGGAAATATCATTGTACCAACACTATCCACTGCCTGCCAAAGAGCAAGCACATAAACCAACCTTCTAAAGGCTTTAGATCCACCTACAATAACAGAGGTCCAATAAAGGATAGCAAGGACACAGGAATTAAAAGCTAAAAAGGCAAAAAAAAAAAAAATCTCACTTGTAGGCCAATGTTTTTATGATGCAGAGGTTTGGGGCAGCTGCCAGACAACAGGAGTTTAAAAAAAGGCTCTTGAGCAAACAATAGCTGCATTGTGCAAGAGTGTAACAGTAGCTAGTTAAGGGAGCAGGAAGAAGAGAGGCATTCTTTGAGGTAGACTGCAACAATCCCAAAGAGATTAAGTCAAGGCAAATTTGAGTCCAATCCTGAAGCAAAAAATGAGTCATAAGGAAGCTGATGAGTCGCTTGAACTTTATAAAAAAGAACACATTCATGCACAGCTGGCAGTCAGAAGTGATATTATCTTGAGAAGCAGAGCTTGAGAAAGCTAAAACAATTTCAGCAGCAAGAACACAAAAAGGGTAAGAGAGCCATTTTAGAATTGGCAGAGAGCAGGCAAGTTAAAGCAGGGCTGTTAAGTAAGGTGAGAAGAAAACAAGGATTCAGTCTCAGGAGCATCAGACAGATCGTGGCAGTAGCACAGCTCTTAGTAGCACCCTTTGGCTCTGCTAAACAAGCGAGGGCAAGCAGGTGACCCCTAAGCCAAGTAGCACAGACTTCCTCACATCTGTGTTGCAAAGAGCTTGCACTCAAGACGTCTGCTCCAGAGGGGCTGGCTGCAACAGCCCCTCTAAAGGAGACCTGGTGAATAAGCCAGCAGTTAAGCAGAGCGGTCAGCCAGCAGTCCTGTGCTGCAGGTGATGCCCTGTCCCCCTCATCTCCCCGACCTTTGTGTCCACTCAGCAAGGTGGTTTGAGTCAGCACAGTTCAGGTGTGGGAGCCTGAGTTAAGAGCCTTTGTTTCACTGTTTAGCAGTACCAAATCCCAATTAATTTGTGATTTCAGAGCTGGCCAGTCATGGCAGTCAGCTCTCCTAGAGTGGAAACAACAGACAAGATGTATCAAGCAAAGGCTTGGTTACTTTCTAGGCAACTTGCACAACTTAAGCTTGATCAGAAGCCATCACCACACAAGTATTAAAAGATTTTTACAGCCTAGGGTCAAACTCAGATCAGCTGTATGAACAGGATAAGTTGAGGCAGAGAACACCTCAGCATTTCAGCATGGATGGCCATGAAGCCAGCCAGCTCAAGGACAGCACAAAGACAAAGAGAGGAAACATACCTTTGCTCTCAGAAAGGCGCCATCACTACCTCCTTGGAAGAAGCCTTGCCCTTCCAGCACCATCATTGCATACCTGGTTCCAATCAGCTCAGCAATGGTTGGTGATGACCACTTCGCAGGAAAGGGACAGTCCTATCCAAAGACAGAAGGTAAGCATCAGGGAAAGCTGAAGGAAGCAGATATTTGGGGAGGTCATCCTCAAAACTGGGTCCCAAAAGGCTCAAGAGCATTTGTCCCCCAGACTCAGTTCTGCCAGTGATGGGGAGTACCAGTTGACTCTTTGACAATACTAGCACAGAAACTACTACAAGGGTTTTAGTGGTTGCTATAGTTTCCAGGCAGCTTCCTGACACCTCATTAGGGAAGCAGGACCCTTGGTCACAGTAGTTAACATCATCTTCAGTGCCAGTCTCTGGGGAATTCTACCCTTTGGCACAGACCACAGCACAGACAGCACCCTGGTCCCTCCTCAGTACAGGATCCCTTTCCACAGCACATCACTCTCTTCAGATCTCTTTCCCAGGACCCACTGGCCCCACACAAATGGTAGCTATGTTCTGGTGGTTGAGCAGAGGAGACAACAGCGCTTTTATCCCCGAGGTGGGGAGCCCAACCCACCTGCATGCCCCACCACACTGCTGAACAAAGAGGCCACACAGAGTTATGGTCAGTTTAGAGAGTTGCCAGGGGTGGGGCAGGGAGGGATGCAGAAGGAAAGGAGGTGGCAAGGGCACAGCACACCTTGTCAGGGCAGAACACGGCGAGGCCATGATTCAGAAGGTTGCAAAAAAGCACACAAAACCCAGCACTGCTCCCCCAACAGTTATTTAGAGCCTGATGACTTCAGTACCACATACATTTAAAAGTCACTGATGCTGTGCTATCTCCATTTTGTCAACCACTTGTACCCTTGATTGCAGTTTAAAGTATGTTTGTGAATTCATCAGAATCTAGAAAGAATGAGGGGACTAGAAGAAAGCAGGACAGTCCCACTGCCAACTACAGTCTGCTCGAGGAAGCCCTGACAGACACTTTCAAATAATGCAATGGTATTTTTCTCTTCTTGTATGAGGAACAACTTTATTTCATATCATTCAAACTGGGGAGCCTCCACAAGGACACTACAGCATCTAGTCTTCTCTTAAGCTATCTCGAAGGAAAGAATAATATCCCAACTTAAGATCAGTATACAATATGGCCTAAGATAAAAACCATATAACATGCTTACTGCTTGCATGAGGACCAAGGTACAAGCTCTGGTCATTACCAGATGTATCAGACCAGGCTTGCTAGCTGACATGCTGAACTTACAAGTTCCTTGCTTTGAAGGCCTCTCTCTAAAGATCTGGACCTTCTTCTGTAAGGAGGCAGTTGCTTTTGGCCAGCATTCAGGAAACCATTAGGTTTAATGTCTCCTAGTGTGGGTGCACTCATGGGAGGATATGTGCAATTTGCAGCGAGACCTGGATAGGAAGAGAGAGTTTTAGGGTGCAGAAAACCAACTGGCATCTTCTAAGTAATCACCCCAAAAGCTGAACACTCAAGAGCACTACACTGCCTCTGAAGGTAGCAAGGCTTACATCTCTCCCCCTCAAACCCCACCAGCTCAGATCACAGAAAGCAGAGGTTACATTAATTATGCTTTTCAGTAGGCAGTGATGAGGCTTCATTAGCACCATTTAGTTCAAGAAAATCAAGTGGTGCACAGAATCACGGAATGGTAGGGGTTGGAAGGGACCTCTGTGGGTCATCTAGTCCAACCCTCCTGTCAAAGCAGGGTCACCTACAGCAGGCTGCAGAGGACCTTGTCCAGGCGGGTCTTGAATATCTCCAGAGAAGGAGACTCCACCACCTCCCCGGGCAGCCTGTTCCAGTTCTCCGTCACCCTCAGAGGGAAGAAGTTCTTCCTCATGTTCAGACGGAACTTCCTGTGCCTCAGTTTGTGCTCATTGTCCCTTGTCCTGTCGCTGGGCACCACTGAAGAGTCTGGCCCCATCCTCCTGACACCCACCCTTGAGATATTTGTAAGCATTTCTTAGGTC